TGATTAATGCTTTCGCCTGATAAACTAATTACTTTTATTATTGCTTTTGGATTTTTGGATTATTGATAGGGAGTGTACTCCCTAGGATACTATTGATGATTAAAGTTTTAATATTGATTAATGAGGGGTGATAAATGATTGAGTATTGAGAATTTGAGAAGTATTGAATATTGATTTGAAAATGAGTAGCGCCTCAAGTGTTTTGAAATAAATTTGAAAAATTTGTTTTGATTTTTGGCAAATAAAAGTGGGGCGTTACAGATAGATAGACAAAAACCTTGATCGGACACTCTCAATGAAAGCACCAATGATGACGGATCGCAGTTTCTGTCTATTGGTTGTGAATAATCGCGCATTCAGGGCCTTCGACTAAACACAATAGGTGTGACTTCAAGACGCTCTCAGGGCCTTCTCTCCGACACGGTTGTATGATAAACACGCACTAATGGCATTGCTTAAACACACGATTGAAGACAACGTTCTTTTCTATTCACTCATCAATTCTGGACATGAAAAACAATGAGGGATGATCCATATTTATAGATCCTAGTTATCTCTAATCCTACTCCAACTAGAACTCCTAACTCTTGCATGAAAATAAATCCTAAGGCAACTAAAAATCCTAATTACCATACTGATAAAATAATACTAATACTAAAACTCCTAATTACTTGGCTTGCATTCCAAATCCTTGCCTTGCACTCCGAGCATAGAAACCCTAGCCGCCCTCGCCATCCGCCGCCTACATCTTGCGCCGTGCGTACGCCATTCCTACTCCTTGAAGGATTATGCTCTGAGCCCTGAGCCCATATCCACTTTGCCTATTCCTACTAGGAATATGCTCCCAGCTACGTTGCCTGATCTTCAGAGGATTACTTCCGTTGCCGATCTTCCATGCGCGTTCTGGCACTCTGCTGCTTTTCTTATTCCTGCGGGGTTTAGTATTCGCGCCTTGCCTATTCCTACGAGGATTAGGCTTGTCACCCTGGTCTTGACTTGAGCCTCGCGCGTGTCGCCCAGTGCGCCTTGCTCGCCCGGCGCGCCTCGCTCGTCAACCGGCCCCTCCACGCGCTCGCTCGCGCTCGCCCATCTACAGCACCCTCGTGTGTATCTATTGGAACCCATGAGGATCTCGATATGCACAAATCACGGACAAACATTCAACATAAACCTATGCGCAGCGGATCTAAAGGTTTGATGTAAAAAACTTACTGCTTAAAATTTATGTAGATCTGGCTGGCCCGAACAGTTGACCGCAAATCAAATCTTCTCGGAATCGAACAAACTTGACCAATCCAGAAAGCTGACGTCACGGTGAAGTCAACGGCATTGACCGGTCGGAAAATGAAGCTTCCACGCGCTCTCACGCGCGCGATTGAGTTCCAGCGGCTGCTCCCTTCCGGTGGCGCGTGGCGGCGCGTGCGGCGGCGGCTGGCGGCGATCTCGACGGCAATCTCAACGACTCGTCGTCCTGGTCGTCGTGGTATGGTCACTTACTGGTTTTGGTCTCCGGTTTGAATGTATGATAGATCTAATTGGAATCTCGTATATACCTTAAGATCTTCTACTGTATTCTCAAACAGCTATCTAGATCTTGTATCAGTGGAGCACAAGAAATAGAACTATTCCTACGAAGAGAGAGAGGGGGCGGACGATTTTCCAAATTGTGGAATTCTTCTCTTCTTCCATGAGCCTAATGCTGTATATATAGAGCTACAGTAGGGACCCTAAGGATAATAGGATAAGGGCTTCTAATATATTAATACTATGGAGCAACCCCACAATTAATATATTAATAATCTTAAAGTCCACCAAAATAATATTATTGCACTCCCCTCACCTATCCCAAATTATATTTGGGACTCCTTATTATAATTATCCGATTTACCTCCCCATGTTTAAGATATAATGTCTATTAATTAATTCGATATCTAATAATCAAGAATTAATTAATATATTATATTACCGAAGCAAGCGCTCGCTCATAGCATTCATATCATGCCGGAATAAATCCACCTGCAGGGTTTAGCATAATATTCCTTCATGAACTCACTTCAGGGACATCATCATACTAACGCACATGGTGACCGTAAATATCCTAATAGCACATCGAACACATAACGTCATTACCCAATTCATTAAGTATGTCGACCCGGCTTGGATCTCACCCAAAGGATCAAAGCAACAACAATTATGTGCACATGCCTATTTAATATCTTACGGGTTAAGAGCACGCAATAATTAACTGAGGCCTAGTTCGTTTACGACGATCAGTATAAAACGAACATCCTTCTCTGGGATCCTGTTCAATACCTAAATGTACTAGTGCAACTAATCGGTCAAGACA